AGAATTAGCTCCATCTATGATTCCAGGATTAACTTTGGTTGATCCTCAGTTTGTATTTTAATAATAATGTAAAATAAATGTCCGTGCAAAGTTAGTGCTTTAATCGATTCCATCTGGCTTGTTATATTGAGTTTCTCTTTGTAAAGTTGCCTTTATTGAGTTCTTTATACATGAGTTTCTATTAAGTTTATAATAGTATCAAGCCCCCTTACTTAGATAATTGTACTGCTATTCCTGACAACAGTATAAAATGAATAGTATCAAACCACTTACTTAAATATTTGAATTGCTATTCCTGACAAAAATATAAAATGAACAGTAACACTCCCTGACAATAATTGTATTGCTATTCCTGACGAATATATAAAATAAACAGTAACACTCCCTGACAGTAATTGTATTGCTATTCCTGACGAATATATAAAATAAACAGTAACACTCCCTGACAATAATTGTATTGCTATTCCTGACAAAAATAAAAATTTATCAGTATTAACCCCTTACTTCATTTTTTGTATTGTTATTCCTGACGAATATATAAAATTATCAGTATCACCCCTTGAATAATTGTATACCTATTCCTGACAGATATATAAATGACACCCAGAACTATTTTAAAATCAGTTTACCTTGAAAGGAAGATCATAGACATCCTCCACATCAAAAATCCTAAATTTCAAAAAATTTCACTTTCACAAAAAGACGAATAAATATTAAAATTAATTTTTCATTTAGCTGAATTTCTAACATTTATTAGTTGCCAGAGAAGTTAGGCTTGCAGACAAAACAAACCGAAACCGATTTTCCATTGGACACAAAATAATTAATTTATTATGACTTCTTACATTAAGGAATCCCTTATTATTAAAAGATAATCTTTAAATGTTTATAAAATGATCTGTAAATGTTTATAAAATAATCTGTAAATGTTTATAAAATAATCTGTAAATGTTTATAAAATAATATGTTGATGTTAATACATAAAATCGAATCTGAATACGAACGCACTTCAGACCAAATATTATTATCTGATAAGTTCAGTGAACATGATTATCCTGGGAACCATTTATAAAAGTTGACAATATTGTTACCTCTTGATTGAGAAGATAACTTTAAATGATTCTATTTAGGAGGAAACGAATTAAATGAAATTGTAACTTCCAGACAGATAAACGTGGATACATTCATCATTGTTAATTCAATTAAGGACTAAAAAATAAACGTTGTGATCGGACGTTCAAAATATGTTGATTATTATCTGTGAACGGAAGGATGACAAAATATGTTGATTATTATCTGTGAACGGAAGGATGGCAAAATATGTTGATTATTATTCGTGAACGGAAGGATGGCAAAATATGTTGATAATTTTCCTAGAAGCCTCAGTTTAAAGGGACTGTGACCGTAATTTCAGGTGACCCTCTAGTTGTAGCGACATTTTCAATTCACACAGTGCCATTGAAACAGTTTTCTGTTCAAAAATGAATGCGATCATTAATTTTTTCCCTTTAAAATGACTAATAATGATATTAAAAATTGCGAATAATGATTTAAAATCATTAAAAGAATTTCTTTAAATAAAAATGACAATATAATCATCATTGGTTGATAAACCAGGGGGCGGAAACGTCATGCGTGTGTCTGTACCAAAAGAGTCTGTATGAAGATTACCGTACTGATGGTGTGTACTGTAGGTATATACAGTACATATGAATCTCGGTTTTTGTACAGTCTAGGAGAGTACATTTGTTTATTGTTAGTTGTTTACTTAAAAATAAGTTTAATATACATCTAGCATATTATTTCTATATCTAAGTCAACACTATAAGCCAAATTTTCATGCAAAGAATATAACTTGATTAAAGTTTACAAAAAATATAGTCGTCATTCAAGCTTAATTATAATTGACAACAATGCTCTGCAATTTCCTTGACTGTATTCATGTTGTGTGTCTGTACCAAAAGAGTGTGTGTAAAGATTACCATACTGGTCTGCAAAGCAGTGCGACTGGCTTTCTCATGCCAGACCAGCGCCATTTCCTTTCCCTTTATTCCTATTCCCTGTGATAAACCCTTCAATCTGATGCTAATCTTTAATATAGATGATTTCTTAAAATTCCACCAATAGTTTCTTTATATGATTTAAAATAGGGTGAAATTTGTTGCTATATACAAATTAAATTCATTTATGATATTAAAATTTTGATGATATTGGCTTTATAATACGAACTTGGCTTTGCCAGGCTGAAGTCGATCGGCAACTTGAGCTCTCTCTCACAGTTCTCCAAGCACATTAATCGATACCTAGAACAATTCTAGGTTATAAGTTGCAGATATTCAAGCATTAACTACAAGAACATTAAACAAGATTTGAACTTTTGACACTTTATTTATAAAATAATGATAACACGTAAGATTGTATATCATGAGACATTATTATTAAATTGTAATCAGTTCAAGAACAGGTGTTCCCAAGGGGGGGGGGGATTATGGGAATCATTTTAGGGATTTAAAACCTCATGAAAAGAAAAAAATTGAGCCAAGCCCCCCTACCCCCCGATTAATTCCTGTGTATACTCCTGAGCTTAAGTTTGTGAGATTAAAAAATATAATTTGGATTAACGGAAGTACTATATCTGCACAATTATTAATATAAAGCGCTGAATGTAAAGAAACATAATTTTAATCGTGACAGAATTTCTATAAAATTAAAAAATTACCCGAGAGGAACCTCAAGCTTTGGAAAGGCATGAAACTCTTCCTGCAGATATCCTTTTCTCAGATTAAACCTTCCAATTGAGATCTCAGCCGGACAGTAGACTACAGGATCCCTCCTAAATAACATTTCCTGAGATTAAACCTACCAATTGAGATCTCAGCCGGACAATAGACTACAGGATCCCTCCTAAATAACATTTCCTGAGATTAAACCTACCAATTGAGATCTCAGCCGGACAATAGACTACAGGATCCCTCCTAAATAACATTTCCTGAGATTAAACCTACCAATTGAGATCTCAGCCGGACAGTAGCCTACAGGATCCCTCCTAGATAACATTTCCATACAGGTGTTTTTGGGCTGTTTTTTTACATGCCAACCCTGGGATCCTTCTTAGATAACACTTCCGAAGATTAAACTGTTCCAATAGAGATCTTAACGGACCAGTACTAACGTCGAGTTTGAAAAAAAAGACCATTGCCATAAGTAATAAATTAAAAATCACTCACTTATTGTGATGAAAACAAAGACAACTGAATTAAGTCTCATCCTTTGAAGGTAGCACTGTATAAAACAACAGACCAAAAAGGATTTGAGTTCAATTGTCACAAACTAGTGTTTCAATATGGCTATATCTTTGTAACCCAATGTCTTATAATCAAACAGTTTAAGTTAATACCAATACAAGGTTGCAAAGATATAGGGATGAGAATATTTGAGCTAGTGGCAAGAACTGGGTTCCTTTGGGTAGAGTTGCAGTTGATAAAAAAAATATCTTAAATTTCAAATAATTTTTTCCCTTAGTCCGACGTTTGTACTGGTCTGACGTTTGTACTGGTCCCTCATTTGTACTGTCCGACGTTTGTACTGGTCTGACGTTTGTACTGGTCCCTCATTTGTACTGGTCCGTCGTTTGTACTGTCCGAGGTTTGTACCAGTCCGACGTTTTTACTGTCAGAGGTTTGTAAGTCTTTGACGTTTGTACTGGTACCATCTTAACAGTAGACTATAAAGGGATTAAACTTTTCCAATATATCTCAACAAAAGACTAAGAGGATCCCTGGTAGATGATATTTCCTCAGATTAAACCTTCCAAAAATAATATATATCTCAACAATAGACTACTGATCCCTCCTAGATGATATTTCCTGGGATTACACTCTACCAATAGAGATCTCAAGGATCACGTCTAGATTTCCCTCCTTATTTTGAAGGATAACTTTTTTATATTTCCTAGACCAAAAACCGTTGAAAATTTGCTATAGTTGTCCCTGTTCACAATTTTCAGGTAATGGGGGGGGGGGAGCAGTGTCCCCCAGTTGTGCATATGATACTCTAACCAAAACAAAACTAAAAAAAACTTACTTGGTGACACAGTAATTGGTTGTAGCAAGAAAGAGGAACTCCGTGGTTTTGTAATTCTTATCGGACACCATATTCTGTATATCTACGCTTTCCAGTCGAGCATTCTAGAAGAAAAAGGTTTGAATTGCAATGGTCAGAAAAAATTGTTTTGTTTTTAGAAGAAAAAGAAAACAATCTAGTAAACAAAAATTTGTGTGTCGATTGTCCCCCAAATTCCGATATAACGACGATCAGTTCCTAATTTCATCCCCTGTCAAAAATAAGTTTAATATCGAAGGGAGCACATGATCCTCGTATGAACGATACCTATATGAATCTCATGTTTGTTCCTATTATAATTTATAATTTTTGGTTCTGATGACGTAATACGGACTAAAGGACTATATGTAATAATAATATTTCAATCATATCTATTAAAAATGCAAAATAAAACTCAAAATATTATGATAGGAGCAAACCGGAGATTCTCAGGCTCCTGTGGGATATCGTCGCTTTCAGATTTGTTGCGTATTTGTTGAATATGATGGGTTCAATACTGCAACTTTTATACAAAATTGCATATTTAATAATTTTCGTATAAATTTGACGCAGTTTAATATCAATTTCTCGAGACAGGAACATCAGATAGATGATCTATATGTAAAAATAAAAATAAATTCTGAGGAATAGGTGCAAAAGTTTCTTGGAAGCAGCATATATCGAGGAAAGAAAAAATGTTTTCAATTTAAGTCGAGAAAGTCACAATTGTTTTGTAGATTCAGTAAGCCAGAAAACTCTGGAATAGGAAATTTACTTAATGACTCAAAGTATTAATTACATAGTCCAATGAACATACAACTCAATGTATTTTTGAAGTACACGTTGTTGAAATCGACAGTGACCCTCCTCGTGTACGATTCAGAACGGCATTCCCTGTAAACCTTAAGGTTATCTTTTTCACAATGTGGAAGATATAATTCTTTTTTCAAGCTAGAAGACAGTTGCCATCAAGCAGGAATAGGTACAAAAAAGGGCAACTAATCTGTCAATATGTTTCATATTGCACATGTCTAAGGAGTATTTTCCACCAAAAAATAAAATCATATCAAGAGCTTTTCGGAACTTTTATTATAACCTTTTCCCCCTAATTTTGACCTCCAGTCAGAATGTGAGATATCAAATCATGGATTTTTTTTGTGTTTTGTTTTCATTCCGAGGCCCCTTTTTGGCTGAAGATGATACTGAAGGTATTTAACTTCCAAATATCAATGACGTCTGGAGGTCTAAATATAGCATCGATGAAAATAAGTCATGTGAAATATCAAATCATAGGTTTCTTGGTAATCTGACTACAGTATTAGGATCCTGTTTTGAGTCCAGGTGTTCCAACTGTTTTGGACCTCCAAACATTTTGACCTCTGGAGGTCAAAATGTAATAAATTAAAATGGGCAGGCTGGGAATTAGTAGGTTAGTTAATGTTGTAATTTCTTTCCAAATACCCCTTTTAGATTATAAAATTATCCTGAACTGAATTTATTTGACCTCAAGATGTATTTGACCTAAGGAGGTCAAAACTTAAAACAAAGAAAACATTAGGTATCAATTTATTGTTTTTTTTTTTTGGTGTTCTAAATCCAGTATTGGAATCCTTTTTTGAGTCCGGATGTTCCAACTGTCAAACTCCAAATATCGATGACCTTTAGAATCACTGAAAATGGGCCAGGTTACTCAATTTTTTTACTCAATTGTTTTTAACAAAATATTAATTCTTCAAGCAACCATCTGGGTATTTGATGTGGTTACACAAGCAACAAGATTTACCAGTAGCTTGAAAATCTATTTTTAATTGAAATTAGTATATATTAACTGCACAAATGTTGTGTTTCATGTTCATTGAACTATCTAAAAAAATAACTTGAGTCTTACAGTTGTATTCCTTTTCTACAATTTAATGGGTCCCACTGTACCCAATATTATTTTGTTAAAAAAAGTGAGTGTAAATGTAAACCTTTTATTATTATGCTGAAAACAATTGAGAAACATGGTCCATTTTCATCAATTCTATATTTTGACCTCTGGAGGTCATTTATATTTGGAGGTCAATAACAGTTGGAACACCCAAGAGCATCTATGGTCAAAAGGTGCAATGATTTTATATTTAGAATTTAGAAAATGGTTATAAAGAAATATTTTCCGAAAGCTCTCGATATTATTTTAATTTTTTGTGTGGAAAATACTCCAGTCCTTAGGTATGTGCAATATGAAATATATTGACAGATTAGGTTGACATCTTTTTTGTACCTATCCCTGCTTGTGGGAAACTGTGATAAGTGTGAAGTTTTTACAATTTCCTTCCTATTCCTGTATGAAGAAATCTGCATTACCTTTCATAGAAAAATTACAATTGAAAACATGTTAGAGAAATCGTAGATATTTTTTTTCATTTTGTTTCAGACACAACTGTTAAGGATACCGTTGTGAATCAAACCTGCCACTGAAAATGGAGACTTACTTGAAGTCACAATCCATGTAATATTCTTACCTCTAAAGCCCTTTCTTTAGCTAGTTTTACATCAAGAAGACATCTTCCATAGGTATCAACCTGCTTACTTAGCTTACTATTCTCCTGAACAAATACATTTTAAATTAGGGTTAATGTGTGTTCTCCAAAGAGTGAGCTAAGGAAATCTAGTTGGGAGTTACTTCAGAAATAAAAAGTATGCCAGAACATTCTATGGATGAGAAATTAGATATTAACTGGACAATAGCCATTGTTTTAAGATATATGTTCCCCAATTTTCTTCATATTTTGATGTAAAAGATATTAATTTAATCTCTGTCTGAATCGCTTATCTGTAAAACCTGATTTAATGTCCTTCGATGAAATTTTCCTTCCATCTTTCTATGAAATGTTTTATCAATTAAACAATGATGTGACACATGAAGTCGTTGACTTCTAAACAGAATCATAACATTCCCCCCCCCTCCCCCAGCGTTTCCGTATGCCCCAAATTTCCAGCTCTCAAAATTATTACCTCTGAACTGAGTGGAGCTCCCATAGCAACTGCAACACTCTTGTTCTTCTTCTTTTTAGGCATCTCTCCTGTCTAAAATAACAGCCGCATTCAGTAATCATGTTAATAAAAAGGCTATGGCCATTGGCCGATTTTCATCCAGGGGCGAGTCAAAAAACTTTATTCTTAGTAATATTTAAATATTAGTATTTTATCATCATTGACCTTAATTCAACTCTTTAACCCTTTATACTTAGGGCTGGTGAGTCTGAATCTATGTAAAGCTAACTTTCATAATTGAAGGATTGGAAAATACCAAACAAAAGGTTGAAAAAATATAAAAAGATGACACACATTTCTACATTCAGTTTTTAAAGAGGTTTCAAAGATGTAGTTTTTATATCTGACCTGAAGTTGTATTTTTTAAACTCTTATTTTTTATACAGAAGTCATTTCCGGGAAACACTTTTTTTACAAAAAGTTTCAATAAGACTTTTAACAACATGAAAGGCAGTAAGTTCCCATTTCTTATTCTCTTGCCAATTACCCAGGTGTGCTTCTTGTCGTCGTAGAATTGCTTGTCCTCCTTAGACATCGAATTCCAGCTAGGAGAACAGAGCTCACTAAACATTTAAAGGTTAGGACTACACAGCTAGCTCAACATTCAGTGGTTAGGACTACAGAGCTAGCTTAACATTCAGTGGTTAGGACTACACAGCTAGCTCAACATGTAGTGGTTAGGACTACACAGCTAGCTCATCATTTAGTGGTTAGGACTACACAGCTCACTAACATTTAGTGGATAGGACTACACAGCTAGCTCATCATTTAGTGGATAGGACTACACAGCTCACTAACATTTAGTGGTTAGGATTACACAGCTAGCTAAAAATTTAGTGGTTAGGACAACACAAATAGCTCAACATTTAGTGGATAGGACTACACAGCTCACTAACATTTAGTGGTTAGGACTACACAGCTAGCTCAACATTTAGTGGTTAGGACTACACAGCTAACTAACATTTAGTGGTTAGGTCTACACAGCTCACTAACATTTAGTGGTTAGGACTACACAGCTCGCTAATATTTAGTGGTTAGGTCGACACAGCTCCCTATACATTAACCCTATTCCTGCGGGGGGGGGGGTCAATTTGACCCACCCCCTGTAGTTTTTTTTATATAACTCAAAAAGTATTGGTCTGAGGCGGTTGAAATTTTCTGACTTTTCCTACATACCCAAAGCCCTCCATTTTGGCCTAAAACCGGGCTTTAATACTAACTGCCTGAGTCCTCAGGCACACTGCCTGAATGACTGCTTTTTCCTGTAACAAACTAAATCTTTGTTTTGACCCACTTCCACTTGTCAGATTTTGATAAAATTTAGCTTTATGGAAAGCCTTTGACATAAGGAAACAAATTGCACAAGTTTTGCGAAAATAAATTGCAATTTTTTTGCAAACAACCTGTCAAAGGAAATGTGCACATTTTTAGTTTTTCTTGATTAAAAATTAGGTTATTTAAAATTTTGCAAATTTTTTTGCATATTTGAAATGGCATGGTAAGGGCTTTTCAAAAATGTATAATTTTTCATTTTTTGGACAAATTTTTTTTGCAAACATTTTTACTATATAACTGGATTTTGCGATAAAAATTTCAATTTTTGCAAATTAGCAATTTTTTTTTGCAGATTCTAAAAGTAGAGCACAAGAGCTTTCCAATGATGTATCATTTGTCATATTTGGACACCAAACATGGGATTTAGAGGGGGGGGGGGGTCAAATTGACCCCCCCAGCATATCCTGGTTTTCAAGTACCCCAGCAGAGATAGGGTTAGTGGTTAGGACTCCACAGCTAACTTAACATTTAGTGGTTAGGACTACACGGCTCATTAAACATTTAGTGAATAGGACTACACAGCTCACTATACATTTAGTGGTTAGGACTACACAGCTCACTATACATTTAGTGGATAGGACTACACATCTGCACATTTCTGCCATCCAAATTTTGGCCTTGAAGAAATTAGCGGATTTTGAGAATTTAATTCAAAAATGTTGGTAAAAAATCTTTCCCTTTAAATTTAGACATCCAAATCTGCCAGTCCTGTTAATCTAAGTATGCCAATTCATTTATGCGAATCCTAGTCAAGTTTCAATAGTACATCATATATATTTGACCACTCTGAACAGCGCGCTACTTGCTGGCAATATTTGAAATGTTGGTGAGAATGACTCAAATTATGCCACAATTTTGATTATACACAAATAAATTTTTTTTAATACCAAATAAACTATGAATCATAACTTAATATAAGTAAATGTAACATGAATTTACAATATAGTTGTCTCTTCATTTGTTTCAATTAATTAAACTTAGAGGCAAATCAGTCCAAGGGTTCTTGAGTTATGATCGGACAAACAACAAACAGAAATTACAACTTTATATACATAGGTCAAAGGACGTTAGTGTGCCTAAGTGATTTGCATTGATTTGAATAGGTCATTGAATCTCATGAATCATGCCACATATATTGTTTCTGTTTAAATCAGTTTTATCTTCAATTAAATACCTTAGTTCTGCCATTGATTTGTTTCTCCAGGCTGGGATGTCTTTCTTCATGGCACACATCTTTAATAAAAATATGCCTTAAATGCTTAGTGTCAGTTTCAGAGTTTCTTTCCTTGGTTGAAATAAAAAACACAAAACATAACCTATAATATTATGTATACTTACGTAGAAAAAGTATCCGTTCGGTTTCGGTGGCATTCCGATAAATCTAAAATGTAAAATAATTTCAAATAGATGTGCTCCACACGATAACACTGAACTATTTGTTATCACTTTTATTATTACTAAAATCTCAGAGCGTTTACTTTTCTTGGATCAGGAACAAGATAAAAAATGTCAATCTTTCAGTTTTCAGAATTATATATACTTTCGTCTTTGCTTGGGATACTATAAGCATAGTTTAGATAATTCCTAGTATAAGATTTTGGAACCCCCCCTCCCTCCATTTCATATGTAACACATGGATAAATTGGTCACGTGGTGTAGTGTGGTGCTAGAGCGTTGGGAAACCCGTCGGTTGCAGGGTGCAATTTAAACTACCCGTAGCCGCAGTGCTCAGCCTCCTAGCCGCAGCCCAAATATTGCCTTAATCTTACCTAATTCTAAGATGATAAAAAATAAATAATAGTTTTACTGAAAAATACTCATTCACAAAATTGAAAAGGGGGGGGGGAAGGGTCCAGGTAGTTTCCTGGAAAACGATTTTTGGACCCCCCCCCCCCCCCTCCTATCAATTTTGTACATGGGTCTGACAGTCTGACAGGAAGTGTCTTAACTTAACCTAACCCGTGGCCGCAGCGCTCGGCCCCCTAGCCCATCCTAGCCGCAGCGCTCGGCCCAGAAAGTATCTTAACCTAACCTAACCCTAAATAACAAAAAAATAAATAATAATAAATTTGCTGAAAAATAAATGG